TAGAGGGGGAGGATCACCTCCTTGGCCCTACTTGAGATGTCCCTGTGGATGCACGATAGGGTCCGGTTAGCCCTGCCGACCGTGACCTCGTATTGTCAGCCCATGTTCGTCTTGGAGTCAATGATGACTCCAAGATCCCTTTCTGCCTCCGTGCTCTCAAGAAGGGAGTTTCCCATCTTATAAGTGTGCTGCCGGTTACTACTGCCCAAGTGCAGCACCCTGCACTTGTCCGTATTGAAACGCATCCTGTTTTTGTTAGCCCACCCCTGCAACCTATCCAGGTCTTTCTGCAGTCTTTCCCTCCCTACTAGCGTGCCCACCTCACCCCAAATTTTGGTATCATCAGCAAATTTAAACAGGTTGCTTTTCACCCCGTCGTTCAAATCGCTGATAAAGAAATTGAACAGTGCGGGCCCAAGGACCAAGCCCTGGGGGACTCTGCTGCCCACTTCCCCCCAGGTTGAATATGACCCGTCCACCACCGCCCTCTGAGTACAACCCTTCAGCCAATTCGCAATCCACCTGGCTGTGTAGGCATCGATGCCACAGTCGCCTAGTTTTTTAATGAGGATGAGGTGGGAGACAGTGTCAAAGGCCTTGCTGAAGTCCAGAAAGACTACATCCACAGCGACACCTGCATCCAATGCTTTTGTGACCTGATCGTAAAAGTGACAGAACAGCCACCTTCCCAGCTGATTCTTATTCACTGGGAATTAGATGGCCCTGTTCAGATATTAGACCCAGTTGGGAAAGACCAGGAAAGCCTATAAACTGTGAGAGAGCTCTATTAACCATGCACCGTTATCCCTGGAGGTGATGGGGGGGAGTCGGAAGAGGAGCTGTCAAGGAGCCAAAGAGATGATGCCCGGGTTAGGGCCGTTTTGTTGGATGCTGGTTGTCCGGAAGACCGAACCCGTGGGACGGATGCAGCTATAACGTGGCCGCCAGGTCGCCAGGGTTGTTCCACAGTAGCAAGAGCATGACAAAGTCGACCCTCAACATTGGCTGATAACAATTAACTGCTAAATAGCATTGCTCCACTAATACAGCTCTTTAACATGTGATGTATTAAAGCCCGATCCTCATTTTGTGCCAGTTAGTGTCTTTAACGAAGCACATAGAGATGTACCGGTTTACTACAGCTGGTGCTTTTGCCCTATCTGCCCAATTCAGCCCCTATTAGCATGAACTAAGACTTGCACTGATTTCAGTGAAAGCTGGAAGAGCG